ACCTCCACAAACTTTGCAAGGAAGGTGTTAGGAATTTTTAAAGTATGTATTAATTCAGAACTTATTTAAAACAAAATTATATAATAATATTCAGGCCAGCTCATGAACCATGTGCTATTTATACAGTAAAGCCTTCCTTTACTTCTATCTCCCTTGGGAAAAATTTAACTTTATAAATCGAGTTTATTGTGACTTAATGAGTTCCTTAATTCATTGGCCATTGAAAATCACCACCTAAAGTGTATGGGCATATGGTTTTCATCTACATCTTCATTGTAGCCCTAGGTAACTTCCCCAAACCACATCCTTAACTGTTGGAAGGCATGCACTTTCCCCAGAAGCCTCTGCCTCCTCTGAAATATTTCTGCCTCTCTTTGTTTTAATCCTCCAGTTCTGTAGTTTAGCTGAGATTTAAATCTGGTCCATTGATACAAAAAGCCTTGGACTCTGCCAGAGCTTGGACTCTGCCATTTCTTTCAGATCTTGAACCATCTTTGAGTTCATGTCTGTCTTCATCTCAGCACAGGAAAGATATCCTAGTTCAAAAACCCAAATTATCAACCATTTTCACTCTCTGGGCAGCATTTCAGTGATGTGCTGCCAGCATTTCAATGAGTCTGCAGAATGATTTTTCCTCCACTTTGAAATACATGTGGTATTTTTAAAGCAAAGAAGGTAACCCATCCATAAAATGAGTACTTTTTACTAGTTTCAATCACAGTGATCTTGTGAAGGTCCCAATTCATCTTGCTGATGCTACTGTAGGGTGCCCCTACATCAGCAGCAGAAGCGTCAGAGCATTTGACTTGTAGCCTTCACTTCAAAGGGGTTGATAACGTAGAAGGAGGCTTGTTTCTTGTTCAATAAGTCCACTTCGAGGTTGGGATCATCAGATCTCTGCTTTTGCCTTTGAAAAGGCTGGGGAGGAGCCAGGAAAGACATCTCATCTGTAGTGTGGGCTCTTAATGAGAAGGTAGATCGTCTTCTTTGGATATGGAGATCTTAAGGGGTGCTTTTGTTTTGTTAGGGGTGGTAGAAAACCAAGGTCCAAAACCTTATTTTGTGTTCTGTGTAAGCTCTTTAAATTTTTGGCAGGGATGGAAAAAGAAGAGATAGGTATGAAAAATCTATGCCTAAGAGCTGGCATTTGGATATAACTTCAGGTTATCTTTTAAAAAAATTAAAATCAGAAGGTGCATTTCTAATCCTCTGGGTTGTGAAGCTGAAAAATGTGACCATGACACAACTCTTAACACAGACATTTTTGTTTAATTCTAGAGGAATCCTCGAACAATCTTTAGGTTAAAAAGAGCATATGTCATCCCAGACATCTGATTGGGACGTGCAGCTTTCAGCAGCTTTTAGCTGCACAGGCCTGCGCATATTGCAGTCCAGTGCACTCAAAGAAGTGCTGAAGTGCTCCAAATCTGGTCCAGTTTTTTGCTTCCAAATATATTACTTAGTCTAATAAAAGATATTAACCTTGCTTATTGAGCATTCTTTGATTAATAGTAGCAGAGAAATGCCAGTGAGTACATAAACAAATAATAAATGGATATTTGAGTGATTAGCTCAGGGAATTTTTAGCACTGTTCTCTTTAGTGAGCTACAAACCTATTGTTCAAATGAATTCATTGCTGTAGATGATCTCACTTGCAAAGATGAAAGCTGGGCTTCACTTGCAACACTTTTCCCTGCATTTATGAAGTTGAAGTATTCATCAAATTTCCCTTTGGTATTAAAAGCAAAAACATCTGCTAAAACCATGAGCAGCTTGCTGCCCGAGTTCAGCAAGAGGGGAGCCAGAAGTTGGTCAGATGGGCCTTATGTTGGTCCCTTTGTCATAAATGAAAATTATTGCACAGTTTTCACTCTTAAGTCATGGTATGTGACTCTTGGTATTAAGTGCCCAGAATGAAAAATAGAAAAGAAAATGTTTAACACACATAAGCAACTGAAGAGATTTTTTGCCTGCAGAGTGCCATGTAGCGTTTTATCTAATATGTACCTGCATTTCTTAAGGCAGCGTATAGGTTGAGAATATATTGTTTAAAACAGGAGAAAGACTTGAGCAGGAGTGTTTGTAGTTTATCTGTACGCTGCTATTCAGGGATATTGTAATACCTGGAGTAGGTTTGAAGCAGGCTACATGCCAAGTACCTCAGTATCTATGGATGAAGGTCTTGGTGGCTTGTTACTAAATTTTTCTAGTGCTCTTCAGTGCATGTCTTTGAGCCGTTTTCAGTTAGACCCATTCCTAACACTTCTTCCCTACAGCGTGAACAGAACCGATCTGTCAGGATCCGTCTGCAGCCGCTCGGCTCAGCGCGCCCGGGGGCTGCCCGGCCGGCTCCAAGTCGCTTCCCGCACCTTCCTGCTCCTGGAATGCCGAGGTGCCTCTGAGTTATGGTCCTGACTGGCTGCAGCAACAAGCTATGCAAGACAAATACCTCACCCAGCGCTTTAACAGAGAAGTTAGTCAACTATTTGAAAATTATTTAAAAAAAAAAAAAAAAAAGAATAAAAAACAGGATCATGTGTAGGGCAAGTATTGGCAAAAGAAGCTGAAATATCATACGAAACTCTTAGACAATAAAGCAGCAATAGAACTTAGCAAGGGAAAAAAAGTGTAAACCCCATTTGCTGTTTTCCTTTCTCACACTGTGTTTTCACAGACCACATGGGCAAAACTGTCCAGCCTTGGCAGACAGTTGTCATCACAAGTTTGCAAGACATTTTAGATTTAGAAAATTCTAGATTGTTTTAAGCAACTCTGTTAACAGTGCTCCCCAGAGCAATAGAGGAAAAGTAGACTCAAAATGTTTAGAAGACTCTGTGAAGAATTGCATGGAAAAGGTCTGAAAAATAATGTGTGTGTGTGTGTGTGTGTGTGTGTGTGTGTGTGCATTTACATTTCTTTTAAGTAAAATCCATGGTTAATTTAGTTTCTTTTAAAGTAAAATACCACCGCTGCAGTTTGGAATTAGGCTATATGATGTTTTTATGTGTGGCTGAAGTGTTATTTTCAGTCTTTCAGTCTTTCTCATTGCACAGCATGAGAAATGGGGAAATAGTCATTGGAGAACAGAGTAGTTTCTTTTTTTCCTCCCCCCCCCCCCCCCCTCAATTCTTGGTCCATTTCAGTAATCTATCAGAAGCTTCAAAAGGCTACCCAGATAAATTACTGCTCAGTAACATTCCCAAACCCTGATTAGGAAAAAGCTCCCACGGAAATGTAGAAAAAGGAAAATCTGAAGCTCTGTCAGGAAGGAAAGAAGCCTAGTATGAACCTGCTGCAAATCCAGAGATTTCAAGGCCCTTCTTTCTTGGGGAAAAGGGGAACAAGCAATGTTGAGTTATGCTAAACCAGAATCTTGCCTCCGAAGTTTACAGCTGAGGAAAGAAGGCAGCTCTACAGTAGCACACTTGGCCACTGTGGGCAGCTCAAGCTGACTACAATTCCTCAGCTCCCGTCAAAGCTGATACAAATCATCACAGTTTGCTCGGTCCCTGCCCTGTTTGAGGTTTCAGCTTTCCTGTCGTGAGCTGAAACAGTATTAATGGCACATGGCTCCGTCCCTTTGTGCTCTGAGGAAACATTCCTGAAAGTGCATACTGCAGCCTTCACTGTCTCCAAGCTGCAGTTTCCATCTGCTCTGTTTAGGAGGATCTGAAGGATCTGTTCAGGAGAATCTGAAAGATCTGGGGATGCTGCTCACAAAGAGGTTAAACTGCTTCGAATACCAGGAGTTACCTTAGCTTTTTGGACTTAATGGATTACATAAGCACATGAGGTTATAATTAATATACAGTTGTTGAAAGTGGAGGAAAGATGGTAAGGGTTAGCGAGATAGTCTGCATGAGTTCACCTGGAAATTCTCCTCTCCATCATAAAACAAAAGCAAATAGTTAGCTGTGTTATATTATTTAACATCTGCTATGTGTGCTTCCAATTATCGGGCCTGCTGCAATGCTTACTGCTTCTTTACTGCTAGAAACCACCAAAGGTTAATTAGACTTTTTCCTCTCAATATTGCACAATTGTAATATTGTACAATATTGCAATATTGTATAGATGAGCTTTGGTGGGCAAACTCTGACTAGACTCTAATGAAATAAATAGCTATGTTACAATATTATCCAGTGCTGGAAATACTGAAAATAATGGCACTGCCTGCAAATAGATGGATAAATACAACAACAAATCTTATCTTAATACATATATTTCTGTAACATCTTGGCTATGTCAAGCCTGGAATGTAACTGCAAATCCCAAAACGTGATTGTTTTAGGATATCAACATTTGTATTTAAAAGGTCTTCTCTGTGCAGACTTAGCTCCTCATCACTAGGTGCTGCACATTGCCCGTGCCTGCCAGATTTGAATTGGAGCTACTGGTACTAATTAAAAGGCAGGTAGAGAGTAGAGCACTTGACCAGACAGCCTTATTCCTCGTGGATGCTGGAGGCATCAAATGCGGTTCCAGTTCCTGCACTGAAAATGAAATGTGAGCTGCCTCTGGTTAATTTTGCTCTCTGTTCTTTAGATGTCAGCATAGCATTGGTATGGGTGGCATGGTATGTATTATGAGGCATACTGGTGGAATGAAAGATATCTTTACATTGAATGAAAAAAAAAATACAAAACTATTTCTCCTTCAGAACATTTTTCTTTGATTGCTTTCTAAAGGAAGGAGATGATATGCACAAATGCTCAAGATGCTTGAGTTGGTCTAATCATTCTCCTTTGTTGCAGATATCAGAGGCCAGAAATCAGACCAGCTGAATATCATGCCATATTCAGCTGGTAGCTAGAACTGCTTGTTATTTACTTTTAAGTGTTTTGCCTCTAAAATTGCAGAACTGGGACTGTAGAAACTGAAGAATTCAAGTGTGGAACAGTGACGTGCCAAAGTGGAAGTTGCCACTATTTTTAATAGTAAAACCTTTTCCAGAAAAAATATTTCCCCCAGGCTGCCGAGAAGGGAAGGTGCCGCTTACCTGAAAGTTGCCAAAGCAGCTGCCCCCTGGCAGGGTGACGTAGCTCACGAACGGGGGGCCCAGGGAGCTCAGCGACTCGTAGCGCACGGTGCCCTCGCTCGGGAACACGGCCCTCTGCTTCTGCTTGCTCTCCCAGAACTCCTGCAGGATTGCCACCACGTTCACTGTCGGGGTGCACAAGAGGTGAGCAAGGAAACGGGACAGGCCTTCGATCTTGGATTACTGGTTTTTGTGCTGAGCGAGAAATGCAGATATAGGAGCTCGGCACATAAATGCAGACACAGGAGCTCGACGCAGCATTACAACTTCTGTAAGAGTCTCTGTTGGTGTTAAAATATGTTCAGATTGGTCAGTAACAGATCAAGGAGCTTTCAGGATTACAGGCTGCTGTGACTGTCTGTTGCAGGTTAGTAATGGTCTCCTTTTAAGCCAATAAGTTGGGGCCCTGGTTCAGTAGCTGGAAGTGGAGCAACTCGCTTTCAAATGAGAGAGAATGTTGTGTTCTAAGAATTGTATCTACCTGGAACAAGTAGCAGAATTTCAATGTGAAACTTTATGAAGTGTTTGGCCAGAAAGCGCTGTATAGCATGGCACCAATAGTTGCAGGCTGATGTGAAGATGGAGAAGTGTGGAAATCACAAATTCAGGTGACATCATGACTCGTGCCTTGGTGCTGTGAAACTCTGAGTTTTGTAAATAACTATTTTGCTCAGACTCGGAAGGAATTATTTGCTTATCTAGACACCTTTTGCAAAGCTATTTATATTGGGTTTTAGATCTAACTTGTTCTAGGAAGTGACTACTGAAGGACTGCACTGTACAGATCCTCTTTTTACCTTTGTCAAAGCTGTTGCCTTTATTTGCTCTAGGCCTTGCCAGAAACACCAGTTTGCTCCAAAGAAAAACTGTGTTGGACATTTGACATAGTACTGGTAACAACATGTACTTCTGCTCTCTCACTTAAAATTAATATTTGAAGGATGGGAAATAAAGACTGCAGCCTGCAGCGTGGCAGGGATCATGGACCAGGCAGGGTGTTGATAGCAGTGTAGTGTTGTAGCAATAACAGATATCAGCTACTTGGACAGAGAGTGGGGTGATTTGAGGATACATGAGAGCAGGGATGAGGTCCCTTTCCCTAGCCCTTCCCTTTGCACAGTCAGGCTGAGCTTGTTAGTGGGGAGAGATGGGAAAAGGGATCCGTCTCCTGAGAGCTTCCCCTGATGGCAGCTCATGTGCAGCAAGTGCATGGGGCATCGCCCCGGTGCCTGCAGCACGGCCGCGTGGTCTCCAGATGCCGTCTCAGTCTCGACTTAATTGAGATCCGCTGGTCTCACGTGCAACACAGCTTTTCTCGGGCATCCGGCCAGGGAGGGATGGGGACATGGAGCGGGGCAGCACTGGCTCTGGCTCCCGCTTGCGCTCCGGCCGCTGCGTTGGCCGAGCGCTGCGCCCTGCTCCGTGTGTGCTCGGGCACGCTGGGCACCTTCCCGCTCTGGCACCGGGGCGTTTGAAGCTGCGCAGCTGTCCTGGCATTCGAGCATGGTGCTGCCCTAAAGAGAGCTACTGGATAGGGATATTTCTAGCAGGAAACATATTGGGAAACAGGAAACATCTGTCAGGGCGCAGCTGAGCTTTGAGAAAAACTGCAATATAGGAAAACTTACCGCAGAGACGGGCTGCTGCTTTTCTAAGTTGCAATTTATTCCCCTCTTGAGACTGTCGGTGCTTGTTAGCTGCGGGACCTGCTCTACCTGCCTCTCATCTCTGACATTCAGTGCTCGGAGAGCCAGAAAAATTAAGCAATTACTGGAGTTGGTGACCCAGTCCTTACACTCAGGAAGTGCGGTTACTCGCTTATTAGGAACTGTGAGTAATAGTGAACATGAGGAGTGAAGAATTGGACTTTTAGCCAGGGTAATTCCCAAGCAAAACAGAGCCCATAAGGTAATCCACCTTGATGAAGGAGTGTTTGAGAAGCCAGTCCTGTCTGAGAGTTTCTCTTTGATGTAAATGCCTGCACGTCTTTTATTAGACCTTCTGCTCCATAGAGCATGCACATGTGTATTGGGTAAAACCCATTAAGAGAAAGCTGAAATTAGGCATAAATTTTATGAATGTCAACTATCCAAGCTCTAAACTTGACAATTCAATAGAAGGTGCCATTTCAATAAAGAAATGGCATTGATGAAATTCACTCCTGTGCTGAAAAGGTCACAGCTGGGGCAAAAAGGAGTCAGATGGAAATAAATCATAATAAAAATGAGCAATATCAAGAATGCCCTAGGCTTCAGGTGGTGCCATAAAGCACTTCAGCCTTTTAAATAATTGTTGTAAAATGGTGCAGTCGTTAGAAACAATAACCTAGTGTCTGCCAAAATATCAAATGCAGTGGTTAAAGTAACCAACCTACAGTACTTCTGGTGGCCTTATAATCTACTCTGTGCATGACAGCTTTTGTTTAAAAAAAGAAAAACGAATCAGCTGATCTGAACCTTATCACCAGGTTGAATATTCTGCAGCTAACGGATCAGTGCCCCAGCTGGCTGCTCTGTTGAAACTGCTGAGTGTCTCAGCAACATTCGGGCAACAGTTTGCAAAGCAGGAGAAAGAAATCCTGGGACGTGGATTTTGTGGTGGCAGAGAAGAAGAAATACCCACAAAATGCAGTGATTTTGCTTATCAAGAGCAGTAGTAGGCCAATTTAATTCTAACAATAGTAACAGCTAGCCCTCTAAAATACTTCGCATGAGTGAGATCTTTGTGTCTCATTTTTCTGTGGTGGTATAGCAGTGGAAAGAGTACAGGATGTACAACGTCTGTTCTTACTTCCAGTCTTGTCCAAGAGCACTCCTGAAGGAAATTCAGCATTTGGACAGTCTGCCTTTCTTTGGCTGCGAGTTTCTGCCAGAGCTGTCCTTGCTGTACTAACTAATATTTGCAAGGATTTTTAAGGGCTCCAAAGAGATACTTTTTTTTGGCAATACTCAGGAAGTAAATAAATAAAATAGCCCCTCTCCTTTTAGTTTAAACACGGAAATGTGCCTTTGGCTGGCAGCTCATACAGCCACAGGAATATTTTACCAGGGGACAAGTAAGCAGTGAGTCGCCATGACAAAGTAGTGTGACAAGCAGTTCAAAAGCAGCTGAGCTGATACTTGCATGTGGATCAGAATGGCTGGCTGGGAAAACCTGCTAGGAAACCTGCTGCTCCAGCTGGCTGTCTCTGCATAGGATGTGGAAACCTGCTTAGGGTATGGTATGTCAAGGAGCCTGCTTTCACACGGAAGTGGATGAGGAATATCCATAAAGCCTGACTTAATGGGAAGCATCCGTGATGTGTATAGTGGTAACGTCCTAAGACAGAGCAGCAGTTTTTGCTGTAATTCCTTTCTTTTCTTTTTTTTTTAATGCTAGCCAAAGCTGTTGCTTCAAAAGGCTGATCTACACAGAATTGTATCAGGTTAACTAATGGCAGGACTGAATCTGTGATCATAGTGCTAGCTTTTAATTTAGCCTAACAGTGTTACATGAGAATGCTTTTATGCTGATTTTAATTTGACTTACAACAATTTAGCTTGTATCAGTAAGCTTACTGTCATGCGGTTAAAATAACATAGAAATTTTCAATAGATTAACTGAATTTAAACCAAAGCATGTGCCCTAAACACTTGATCCTCAAGTACACACTGTGAGTCTTGATTATTGTCTACTAAAAATCAATTTAATTTTTGCAAAAATGTATGCCTGACAATCATTAATTTAAATAATTTTGTTATATATTATATATATTTGTAGTAATTTAAGAAGACTTGAAAGATGTACTCAAGTGTGCAACGAGTTATTTGCTCAATCTAAGACACTGCCATGATTACTTATATTTTGTTAAGATCTCCCAATATTCATTTATCCTGTAAGAACTCTTTTTCCTTAGCTTCGTTTTTAAACACCTCAGGTGGAAAGGTGTTTGACCATACGCTGTGTATTAGGATTTTGCGTGCAGTCGGTTTGCAGTGGGATAATTCTGTGCTCTGCTCATGAGGATTTTGAGGAGTCAGTAGCCATCCGCAGGTAAAACAGCAAGATTTGCTTTCACTTGAGAGGTTTAATGGTGAGTAAATAGAACATTGCAGTTTACATCTCATTTTGAAAGACCACTCTCTTCTAAATGATTTTTGTGTTTTTGAAGGTGCCTATAAAATTATTAAAGCTTTCAAAATAATGACTATTTGTATGTACTGACAACTTTTTTTTTTTGAGAATTTAACTTTCTGTGCTCCAAAAATTCCTGTTCCATATATTGTGAGCTGCAGAATCAGTTAACTATATTGCTTTTGATGAAATCCCCCAAGAACTTCAACCAGACAATACTGTATCCTAATACTGCATATATGCTCCCTACCTACGCAAACTTTTTAAGTTAGAGGTTTACATAGTGCAAGTATGACTGGGTTCAAGGTCAAGAATTTCATCTATCCATTTTCTATATATTTTTTTTCTATCTGTGAGTGTTAAGGATTTCACCTTAGTCTGTTTGGTTGTAATGTCTAGTTATGAGGTGGGGAGATTATCTTTTAATGTAGATTTACTTATTTTTGATTTTTAATCAACTGGAAAAGCATCTCAGATGCCCAGGAGCCGAGCGTGTTACCTGCTGAAGCTGTCCTAGCCTGTGAATCCTGGTAGCCTCTTTGAAGCGTCCCTCACCTGTATTTCTGGAGCAGACTGCTTGGAAACTTTGAGATCTGTACAGCAGAAACACACAGGTTGCTGTGCTACACTTACCCTAAACGAACCCCGAGCTCTTTTCAGCATTCAGAAATATTGTTTTATGTCAACTGGATTTGGAAGTGATGAAATGATGAAACTGATCTTAAAATATGACATTATTTTCCACTTCTTTCCTCGTCTCTGAGTAGGAAGGGCCCTACCTCTGCTCTTGGAAAATGAGGAGGGCGGGAAGTTCTGCATTTCTGGGGTTATTGTTAAAAATACTGACTAGGTATTTGCCCTAACCAAGGCTAAGTAACAAGACCCAAACGAGAGAATGCCCAAGCAAAGGGCATTTGGATAAGACTAGCAGGGCTAATGGGAGCAGGAACCAAGTGAATCTATCAGTGGAATGGATTGGAGTTATGTCCTTGACAACATTTTGCTGTCAAGA